GAGAACTGTACACCTCACAATGTATCAGGAGCAGGATATCAAATGGTCTCCCAGGTGATTCAGCCTAGTTCTGTAGTATGGTTTGTTATGAGGTGAAACACTGTTTAAACAGTTTAAGTGTGCACTATTAACATACATGCTGATCCATGGACTTGCTATTATAATGCCAAGACTGAAAATTTAGCACACTACAATAGTGCATAAGTAAGGATGAACTTGGGAAAATCTGGTTCCATAAATAAGCAGACAAAGTAGTGATTTTGGAAGATGAAGCACAGTTGGTTTATTACATTTCAATAGATATGAAAGAAATTTTCCTTGGACCACAATTCCACTGCAAATAGTCATTCTCAGTGTGAAAAAAAACCACTCAGAAGTTTTTACTGGAAATGAGGCTGTGTTGCTCTTGAAATGTAAGATATCAGAAGGGTAGGTTCATTTGCTGATCCCCAGTATCACACACAGCAACCACAGAGGAGGTAATTGCCTATCTAAACTGTGAGAGCAAACTGCAGTACTTGATAGCTTGGGGCAGGCATGTCAGTGAAATGAGAGGTTTGTCACACACCTGCTTTTTGGATTGCGCTGCGCTGGGCTCTGTCATAAAATAAGAGCAGCATGGCAGAGCCCGGGGGAATGGCACAGCCAAAAGCAGGTGTGTGTGCCACATGCTCCCCTGAACTGCAAACAGCTCGTGCAGGAACATGCAAAATACAGCCCTCTCTCAACCATGCCATGCGGTGTTAGGGGTGGGGCAGTAGCTGAGAGCATCTTGGCTATCATCATCACCTGGTGGGTAGCCTGAATCCACATCCCTTACTGCCATTTGTGTGGAAAATGAGTCCTCGGGTCAGTTGGCCAGAGTTGACAGTACTTGCCAAGGAACACAAGGCTCAGTGAGAGGACTGGTTAACAAATTCTTACAGGTAATTATCAATGCACAGAAGAGATTCTTCTTGTTCAAACCAGCATTGCTGACATCACACATAACACAGGGGACCCGAGTATCTCCGCTCCAAAGTCATCAATCAAATTTGAAACTCTTTGCAGTGAGGATTGGGGTTCTTGAACTACTGGAAACTGGTTTAAAGCAGCTGGAACTGGTTTGATCCAGTTGAGTCAGGTTTGAAATTATTGGAATCAGTTTAATCCTGTTGGAATTGTTTAAAATCGGTTTGAAGTGGTTGCAACTGGTTTGATCCAGTTGAACCAGCTGGATCCAATTTGAACTGGTTTATACCATTTGGAGCCAGTTTTGACTAGATTGAACATTAGTCAAAATTTCTTAATGGAAAGGGCTGTTAAACATTGGAATGGACTACCCAGGGAGATGGCAATCATCAGGATCATCATCCTTGGAGGTGCTCAAGAAATAACTGAACATGGCACTTAGTGCCATGGTCTAGTTCACAAGTTGGTGAAAAGTAAAGGTTTAGACTCAATGACCTGAGAAGTCTTTTACAACTGAATTTGTTCTGTGATTGTTTTAGTGCAACTCCAGATGCTTGGGCAACAAAATACACTAAAGTCAAATTCACCAGTACACAAGTCACACAAAAACTTTTAAAATATTACCCTAGATTTTATAATTATCTATTAGGGGTATCTAATTTAGAGATGAGATTTCTTGAACTTACCTGAAAAACTAAGGCGACACCTGTTAGGCTGCTAAAGCCACTTTCCAATGCAGACTCTTTGACAACTGATATTTCTGTCCAAGTGTGAAAATTGGAGATTGATACTTGCTTCAGATGAGTGTATGAAGGGTATGGAGTGGTTTTTAGGACACTAAAGGTAACAAAGTGATAGACTTACATTACAGATATTTCTAAGTCACAAACTTTTCAGAGAGATGGAAAATACCTTTCCAGCCAGGGTCTATCAGGGAAACAAAACAACTGCTTTTGGAATAAACCCAGGTAATTTGCACTTTCTAATCCCAAAACTCTGAATTACCTCAATCCTTTATCTCTATGTCAAATTTGAAATTTATTAAGCTGGGATAATAATTCTGTTTATCTCATAAGGAGAAAAATGAAGAGCTCTTGGACAGACTTGCTCCTGCGTAGGGAAAATCCAGTGTGGTGGTATTGGGGATGGCCCAGACAAAAAAAAAAGTCATTTCTTAGAGTATATTGGATTTCTGAGAAAGCTTAGTGATGCAGACACATGAAACATCCTTGGATGCCCTTTCCTGCACATAATTGAACATGGAAAGATTTGAAAGGATGTTTTCCAGATAAGACCCCTATCCAGTTATTGGTTGCTGTTGCTTGAGCCATCTTCTCCAGGCCAAGGTATAGCCACTTCCAGTAAAAAGTGGTTACTGAACACCTCAGGCTGCAGTACCTTTGCTCCTCCATTGTCCACTACACCTTGGGTACTGGGAAAGAACTTTCTTCTCAAGCTGAGGGCTTGTGGTCCCTGTGCCATCACTTCTGTCACATCTGTAAACCAGCAATGCTCCCCCTTGCACCTACTCCAGGGCATGGAGGCTGACAGGTTGGCAGCCACTAGGGATACCCAGGCAGGGCTGCAGGGACATCATCTTGAAATTGGGATGGACCTATTTAATGAGGTCACTGAGCTACTAACTAGAAACTAAGCCTGGAACTATAGGTATTACTCCTGGGAGGCCCCAAAACATCAAAAATAAATTAACTCTGATTAATGGAGAAGCAAGCCCTCCCTCTCCTTTCCCTTGTGGCAAGAGATGTGCTTGTCAGCTGGTGCTGCAACAAATGCCTCCTCTGCATGTGACATCCTTCAGGGGTCTCTCTTCCTGCCTCTGAAAAGTTTTCCCTGGAACAGGGGAAACAGTATGTACCCAAAAAAGGGAGAGATGCTCCCAATTCACAGAGTTAGGGTAAAACAGGCAAATAAATATCATACATGGGGACCTGTTCTGTTGACTATCTGAGCTAGGGAGCATGAAGTCAGGGATTGCTGTGGGGAGTATCTGCAATCAAAAAAGCTCCTGCTCAGGACTCACATTCTCCTTTGAACATGGTTAAAAGTTGAGAGTTTCCTTTTTACCACTTACACAGAAACTTAAATCACAGATTTTAGTGGAGCCTTAATATTTCCTAGCCTGTGCTGTATTGTCTGAAGCAGATGGGACTCGCCCCCTTAAAAGATGTAGAACAGAGAGGAGATGGAGAGATGAAGTGCTCCAGTTGGAGAGAATCACTGAGAGTTATTGGGTAAAAACCAGCCTGTTGAGCTTGAAACACAGCCTACTTGGGGCACCTCCCAGGCATGCCCAGAACAAAAACTGCCCCTTTTCTATGCTCTTAGCCTGTTCCAAAAAAAAAAAAACAAAACAAACCCCAAAACCCAACATAAAAACAAACAAACAAAAACCCAAAACAAAAAGCCAAAGCAAATCAAACCTCCCAAAAATTAGGACTTTGCTTTCCTGTCACACTGCAGCTTTATGTCAGCTGTTGTTGAGGAGAAAAAAACTGCTGCCCCGCCAGATCCTGAGATGGGAACAGTCTGGGTAATTCCCTGGGAAGGACATTAAAGCCAGGGGGCAGGTGGGACAGAGCCTCCCTGGGGGCAGACAGCTCCAGCAGCCCCAGGAAACCCTCCTGCAGCATTAGCAAGGCTGGTAACTCTTTTCCTGTGTGGAAGGGACAGGGAGGGGAAGGCAAAGCCAGAATGACTGGGAAGATCCCAGCCAGCGCTCCTAGGAAAGAGCGGTGCCTTGCCTTGCACGCAGCCCAGCTTGGGGTAGCTTTGGGGCTGGAGAAGGCAACGCTCTCTGGAGTAATGTGATGTGAAGAGGGTTGTGGGGCTACAGCCCCTGGCATTGGCACACGTGGTGTGTGAGGTGCTCATGACAACCCGCTTTGGCTCTGCAAAGGGAAGGACAACTTAGAAATGGAAAGAAAAGCCAAAACCAAACATAAAACCTACCAAAACCAAAAGCAAACCAACCAAGCCAACCAGAGAAAAAAAACCCAAACAAACAAACAAAAAGCCATAGAAGGCAGCAGTAAAACCCGACCAAGCCCTGGGTGAGCAGTGAACCTGAGGTGTGGGCATTGCTATCCTTCTGAGTGAGATTTGGTGGGCAGGTGGTGAACTCAGAGGCCAGGTGCAGCTTTTTGGGGGGGTGCAAGAAGGGTGGAAGGATAAGGGCTGAAGGGGGTGACCCTAGCCTTAGGAGAGAAGCCCTGGAGGGCAGATGGGGAGATGCTCCCCAGGGGTGGTGGGTTCTCCAACAGCTCTCTTGGTGCCATCTCTCCCCCTGCCCTGCTGCTTGTGGGAGCAGACTAGTAACCCTATCCGGTATGGGGCTCCCCGACCCTGCATTTGCTGGCTCCCTAAAGATGGTCCTGATCGCCCAGAGCCCTGAAGGCGTGTGCGGGGGTATCAGGCCACGGGGACAGTCTGGGGATGCGAGAGCCACGGGTGTGGTGGGGTCCGGCCAGCGCAGCCCCGGCTCCCGCGCCTGCCGTGCCCAGGTGTGCGGGGCGGGGGTGCGAGCGTGCGGGGCTGCCGCTGCTGCTGCGTGTGCGGGCGCGCACGTGTGCGCACCAACATCGGCGTGCGCCTGTGCCCGCGGCTCTGCGCGCAGGGGGCGCGGGCGGAGGAGGCGAAAGGGGGCCGGTTCTGCGGCGGGTGGCTCCCAGCCTCCCCCGCCCCCTTCCCTCTGGGTCTGCTCCTCGCTCCGGCTCGCATTCTATCGCAGGCGGCCGGCGCAGCCCCCTCTCCCTAGCCCCGGCCCCGGCCCCCGCCCACCCCCGGGGTGGAGGCAGCCGCGCCGAGCCGCCCGCGGGAAGAAAGCAGCGCTCCGCCGGCTCCGCGCCCCTCCGCGGGGCCATGCAGCGCCTCTGCCCGCCCGGTCCGAGCGCAGCCCCGCGCCCCGCCGCCCTCCGCGCAGCCTGAGCGCCCGGCGGGGGCTCCGCTCCGCGCCCGGAGGTGGGACGGGGCCGGCACAGGCGGCACAGGAAAGCTCCGCGGCTCCGCGACACTGCCCCGCTGCCCCGGCCATGGGGAAGGGGCTGGAGGGGACAGCGGCCCGCTGCGGGCTGGGACTGGGATACCTGCTGCAGACGGTGGTGCTCCCCGCCCTGGCTGTCCTGGGGGCCAGCCGCCCCGGCTCCGCGGCGCAAGGTAAGCCGATGGATGCATGGATGGATGGATGGATGGATGGAGAGGGGTTGGGGCATCCTCCGTGTGCGGGTTGGAAATGCGAATTTATGCTGTGATTATCTTTTTTACTGCGTTTATGTGTGCAAACAGTGCAATCGCCCGCCGGGGTCTGGAGGGTCCGGTCGTACCTGCCGGGTCGAGTCTGTAGGTGCTCAGCCTGGCCGGGACAGGCGTTTGCCTGCACTCCGTCCTCAAATGAGGCACGGGGAGCGGAGGGGAAGTTGGGGCTGAAGGAGAGCCGCCGGGGCGCCCCGGAGGGCCGGCAAGGTGCGTGGGAAAGGCAGGTGCGGGGCGGGTGTCCCTCCGCAGCGGCAAAGCCGTACCCTGGAGCTCTGCAATCGACGGTCAGTCTTGAACCCCCCAAGGCCCCCCAACGCCCTCCTTCTTCCTGCCAAAAACATGATACACCCGAAGGGAGTCACCGTCTTTCTGTGTTTATGTTATGAGATTTTGTTTCCTTTCCCGTGTCGGGGATTCTGGAGTACATCTCGATCTCCCTTCCCGGTAGCCCTTGTAGAAATTCCCCTTTTTAAGTGGCAATGTATTGCTTCTCAGTGCGTGTTCAGGGGTATTTGAGAACATCACAAAGAGCCCTGGCTCAGTGTAGCACCCACCAGGCTGACAGCCACAGCAGGAGGCTTTTTCTCCTACGAGCTGATGCTGGACAAACTTTCTCGGTGCTTCTCTTCTTTCTTTCCAGGAGTTAGACCTAATGTGGAAATGTGTTGCTTTTGTGGAGCATAGGAGAGAGAAAGAGAGCTTGCTGCTGCATGTGGGCAGAGCCGCACATAGCAAAGATGTGCGGGGTTGGTTAAAGCAGTTGGAAATCTCAGTTATGTGATTAACAAGAGAAAGGGAATTTTAGAAGCTTCTTTGTTTATTTTCCACGTGTATGTAGCCACGAAGTAATAGCATGCACCAGAGTTTTTATTTGAAGTTACCAGTATAATGCAAGTGTAAGAATACTTGATTTTCCCCACATCATGTCTGTGGAGAGGCATTTGTGAAAACTGCACAGATCTGACCCTGTGCTCTCACCCAGCCATTACAAAGTGCACTGCTCTCTGGCCTTTTTGACAGGAGAACAGTGATGGTTGTTCCAATTCCTGGTGCCCCTGGCAGGCTTTCTGTGGGTTCTCCCAGACATGGAGCTGTAGGTTTGCTGCTGGTGGGCTGGGTGCACTGAACATCATGTCTGTACATGTATCAGGGCTAATCCATTTCCTGCTGATACTTACTCCATCCCCTCAGAGTCACATTCCCTTGCTCATTTATTTCACAGGAAGATCAGAAATCTGGCCATGAAAAGAGGGTAGCAGAGAATGAGAGTACAAAAATCCCTTATGCATTGTGGCATGTTTCATCTGTGTCTTCCATATAATTTCCTTTCACTGGTTGGTTTCCTGTTCAAGATAAGACAGGTTTGGTATTTTGTATTTAGGGGTTTAAGTAGTGCCATATGTGTGTGGACCTACATGTCAGGGGGTATATATCAGCCTGTGTCGATAGAGATATGTCATGTCAGAGGGTGTTGGAGAGGAAAGCTCCCCTCAGACAGTTGGACCTGGAGTGGAAAGGAGCCTGCTGGCTCTGCTGGCAGGACAGAGGAGTTTCACATGACAGATGGCCTGAGCAGGGAAGAGAGGACCCGCTGCGTTCGGCTGTTCCAGAGCGCTGCTCTCGGTGCCACAGGGCTCATACCTCCCACTCCCGGATGGTTTCTCCTTCCCACACTTACCCTCTGTGACACAACACTGAGTGACAGAGGTGCCACAAGGGCACAGGAGCCAGGCCCCCTGTTCCTATCCTGCAGAGGGCAACCCAGTGTGGGACCTGCCACAGAACACAGGTGTGCTCACCTACCCAGACAGGGACGGAGAGCTCTTCAGCAACACTCCCCAGTGTGTGAGAAACTTCCACAACAGAGTGAAAAATCCAGGGAATCTGGTTGGGATATAACTCTTTGTCTTGGACTTTTTTTTTTTTTTTTTTTTTTATTGATACTTTTATTTTTATTGCTAGGACCAGACAGGGAATTTGGGTGCAGACCTGGTTTTGGCATTTTTCCCAGAGCTGAGGGATTTTCTCATTGGTGTGTGCAGTGGGGATCTTCGTGTATATGTACACAGTGCTTCAGTGAAGCAATGAATCAACAGTTTAACTATGCCCTCTTCAGGAAGTTTCCTCATCATATAGCACCGGGCAAAGTTTTCCCTCTATTCTATATATACATTTCAAAAGCATACATCTATCATCTCAATTCCCCAACTATCTTTAGCTTTTGAAGCAGGCTGAGAAAGCCATGAGCATTGCTGGGACTTGTGCTTTCCTACCTTCCTTTTCCATTGCCTTGTAGAAGATGAATTTATTAACTGAGGGGCTGGTGGACCAGCCCCCCCTCACTCCCTGGCATGTTCATTATCACTGCATCTCGGCGTCCCCCCATGAGCTTCTCAGCAGACCTAAATACACTTTTTGTTTTATGAGTATTTCTTATCTTCTTATCTGAAGCTGCCTGTGTATTTTTCCGCTGTTATCAGGAGAGAACAGGAAATGGCTGCAATGGTAGAGACAGCCCTTAGTTCTCAAAGTGGTGTGAATGGGGCCAGAACGATTATCAGGCCAGAATCAACTGTGACTTGGCATTTGCTGCATTTAGGATACATCTATGATAAGCAACGTAAGAATGAGAATTTAAATGCCCCAAACTGCCCCTGCTGGGCATTTCAGTGCCATCTCCATAAGAGCAACTTTTCCTTTGGCTCTTCAGTCAGCAGAGACTGGGTTTCAGCTGTTGTGCTCCCCTACAGCCCCACACTTCCTGCCTCCCAAACTGTTATCCACTTACCCTGTGGCTCCCACCTTTTTGTTGTGTAGCTGGGACGAAAGGGAGGGTCAGGCTGTCTATTAGTAGTGACAAACATGGTTCAGGCAGCTTTTGGGGTTAATAACGATGGTGTAAAAGATGGTAGAAAAGCTAAATGGACTACGTATTAATGAGGTTGTGTTTCATTTGTTCCTTTACAATAAAATAGTGCATTTTTCATGCTTAACCCCTCAAACTAATTAAATCAAAGTGATAATTTAAAAAGAAAACTGTAAAAGAGCCATATGTGCAGATATTTGTCTTGCCCCAGCATGGTCTGTGTTAGCAACAGCAGCAGTTTGAAAATGCTTAGTGCAGAAAAAGTGAACTATAACATGTGAATGTAGTAACCTTTTGGGGATGCATTTCCTAATTAAGTACCTAAACACATCTTGTTGAAAAAAGGCGGGGAAAGGCCTTAATTGTCTTGATGCATCAGTGGACCTCTTGTACTTGATCATGCGGGTGTAATATTTGTAATAATAAAGCAGGAGCCAAGTAGTATTTTTTTGTGAATGGATATGGCTCTTTGGAGCATTAATCTGTTTCAAAGTGATGCACTGTGATAGATTTCAATGATGCTGACAAGTTTGAGCTGGGTGTGGTAGCTTGTACTTGCTCTGAGTAGCATTTTAGTATTGCAGTACTCTTTGCTGAAAGCAAACCAGCCACTGTGTTTCCTTTGCTGACAGAGGTGGAGTTTAAGCGGGATTAAAATTAAGTGGATGAATCTGTACATAGAGGAGAGATTCCTCCCTGGGAACATGGGAGTCAGGATCTGAGTTGTTCTTCCTCTGCCTCCAGGCTCTAGCATCTGGTTGCAAAAGTTATGGAAAAAATATATAGATCACATACAGGCTCCTTCTGATGGCTCTTCAGAATTACTGTCAGTGTCATTTATCCCTCTGTACAGTAAGAATGCCAGAGTGCATCAAAACATTTCCACAGTTGTTGTGCATGTTTGCACTTAATCCCTTTACATGGATCATTCACCACACAACTTTATTTTCATTGGTAATGGTCTTAAACCCCAGTTATTCACTATATTTTGGGACTAGCTTTGTGTATGACATCCAAATTCAGAAACAGGAAACAGCCTTAACCAAATTAAAAAGATTTTCCTAATTTAATTTTCCAAATACAGTACATCTGAAAACAGGAATACAGCTCTGTGCCAAGGCCAGGCAAATCAGTTCCATAGCTGGTCTGTGCAGTAGGAAAGGACAAAATGTGGGCTATATTTATTAGACATGTCAATGTAAATGTCTTGATTTTTATGCAAATGGAAGAGAGGTGTTTTGAGGCACAGCCTATGCAGTTCAGGTGAATAGAATATGAAGCAAATCAGTTCCTATGGAAAGTAAGAGGAAGCCCAAGCTGAGAAGGACAACAACTGACTATTTCTGTACAGTATATGACTGGAATTTTATGCATAAGTAGAATACAGAGGAGAGTTATACTTCAAAAAGCCAAGCTACATTTATGTCATGCTACCAGCAAAACAACCTTGGTTTTAGTAACCTGTTTTATAGTGTATGGCTGTATTTCTTGATTTCTGGTTCTTTCTGGATTTTATGTCACTGGGCTTTCGAGGAATCTGTTCTGGATACTTTTTCTACAAAAAGGCGAGAAAATAACTTTTCCAGCCCATAAGAAAAATATGTTTGAATTGCTGGGTGAATTTGCATCGCTTGGACTAGTGAACAGTTTGCTGTGATTTAATCTAAGAGGATTGGTCTCCATGTGAGTCTCAAACCGTTGGTTTGTCATTGAAAACAAGTTACTGGAGGCTATCCTTGAAATAAATGTATAATCATGGATGCTTTGCCAATGCAATGCATTTCACATAACTGTCTATACGTTCCTTTAGGAAGAAATGGCATTGTCTTTCCTCCCTTTAGGGTGGGGAGAGGGCTGTGCTGGTTTGTGAAGTGCACATCTCGTTAGCCACCCAGTGGAGGTATTCACGTCTAGCAGGCAGCGATCTTGGCAGCGGTGCCAGCGAGGCAGTAATTACAGCGTCTGTCATTTGCATTAGCCGGCTCTGCTGCGCGTTCGGCTCCGAGGTACAGAACAGCTTTCTCAAGTACAAGTC